AGTTCAAAGATGCAACCAAGAGGGCACAGGGTTTTTGTTTTTCAGACGCAGCTACAGTATTTCCAGTTTCGTCATGCTACATTAGCAGCTGCAGGCTAACACTGAAGGAGCAATTCGTTTGAAACTGATGTTCGGCGTCAGAAAGTTTGCCGTACAGGAACCCATTTTCATTTAGGAGCTCGTTCCAGTCAACCAAGGACTTCATTTTTGAAGATTTTTTGAACTGATTTTTGTGTGAAATCATTCATAATTACTTGTCGCAGCACTATAATTTACCATTTGATTTTCACTCATGCTCAAATGAAATTTTCATCGAATGAGAGGAACAAAAAACGCACAGCAACACACGTGGTGTAAAAATTCATCATTTTTAACCACACTCTCAGACACCATCAGGCAGCCGTGATTCTGATTTAATGCTGCGGGCGAAATAAGCATGGCGGTTTAATGAGCCATAAAATGGATGCAGGATGTAAATAATGAAGTCTAGCGGAGAAAACTGCCACAGAGAGACGGAGACTAGTCTGTGCTCCGTGTTCTCTCATGTGCTATTGTCTCCGCACCTCCTTCAATTCACGACTGTCATCCTCCCCACTCCGGTGGTGATTCCAAGCTACTGCAGGATCACACCTTGAACCACTTGTTAGTGAAAACAAAAAAACAAAAAAAACAGCCATTTTTTTGTACTTAAATTGATTTAGAAGGAGCAGAGTGGAGTCTTCGGGTCTACCTGTTAAACCCAGAGACCAGCGGTGAGTCACGCTCTATTTCCTGCTCTGCTCGGCTGCTCCTCTCTATCTGATTAGAGTCTGCATTCATGAGGCAGAGAAATGGGAGCAGTGGATCGTGGCAGACATGACACTTTGGTACTGATAGCTACCCTTTCTCTCCCGCTTTCTCCTTATTTTAGAAGCAGAGGAGATAGTTATGGATGCAGATTATTGACAGAAGGAAATGTTATGTAACTGCTCTGATGTATTAACCTCTCACTGCAGCCCTCCTTGGCTCATTTTTATTCCTCCATAATCAGGTTGAGGTTTCCTCACTCAACAGTGCCATCTACTGGTATGCTGTATTTTCTTAAAACTACAAAGTGGCCCAAACAACATTTTTGTCCAGTGGAAATGGATGGATGAGCTACTAGTGACAGACAAAGAGAATAATTAAAAAGCCAATCCCAGCCGGGTGAACGCTCTTTTAGTTTTCATTGCAAATATTTTTAAGCTCTGAGCCACAAAAGAAATTCAGTCAGAAAATATTTATATCGACAGTTAAATAAAGGTCACGTATATTAACACTGTTACACACCCTGACCCCTCTCCTTACCATGATCACTGACACAAACAGTCCAGAGGGTAGGTGGGTCTGGGCGGTAAAGTCACCCTGGCCTAATGTCCCAGGATGCATCAGAGATATTGTCTAGAGGACATCTGTGACTAATCTACGAACGGAGCAAAACAGTGTTGTTGCGAAACCAGTCAAGTTTGCTAGTATGTGTTGAGAATATAATTAATAACATTTTTTTGTCATGTACACATACTGTATAGAAAAATATAATGTGTCTACAAACTAGGTTTTGTTGCCAAATACATAAAATACAATAGCCATGCTCAGTATTCAGAAAATCCCTTTATAAAATGAAAAAAAAAACAAAAAACCCCAACACGTTATTTAGAGCTCAACAAGTTATTTAGAGCTGTTCCACTCACACACACAGTCCACATTTAGCTTTTTCAGATAATCTTCCTCTCCTCAGATTACAGCGATCCATTTGCAGGCGCAACAGAATGTGCTGCGTACTGTGTACGGTAATAAATACGTCTTTATTGCATTTAAAATTCCAGCCACTATGAGATTTCCATTATTCCAGGCGTTAATGCAACAAGATGCCCGAGAACCGAGACCTAAGCGTTATTCTTTAAAACGCTCAATTCTCGTACGTTGTATGTGAACGAGTATTTCTGGACATCTACTGCACGTTCGTGTTAAAATCTCCGTTAACCACTCACCATCTCCTCTGCTCTTGGATCATAACCAGGTGCCAGCTTGAAAGCTGATTATGAAAGCTTTAATGTTCCACTTAAAAGACGCATGTTCTGGGTCGTGTATGGATGTCGGTAAGGCATCGCCGCTCACTGGGCATCACACAAACACACACACACATAAATAGACATGTGACATTAGCCATGTTCAGCCAGCTGTGGCCGACCGCCTGGCACTTCCACAAGTGGCTCAAAAAATGATCTGGAACAGAGCCTGTCCTTTGATGGCTGACTCTATCGCATCAGAACAGGAGCCAAATGACTGGAGCGTGTTAACTAGATGGTAACAGACCAATGGAACAGTGGATTTATGTCTCTTTGATGTTTTTCAGTGATGAATCTAAGTCATGCGTAAGCCATGCGTAAGTCAAGTAGATCCTTTTCTAAGTAAGACATGCGTAAGTCAAGTAGATCCTTTTCTGTCTTTCTGTCTTTCCTGTTTGCTCCTTTGCTCTTTCTTTGAATTGTTACGTATACATTAAGTCAGTGTTTTGCAACCTAGGGGTCGCAACCCTATGTGGGGTCGCCTGGAATTCAATTGGGGTCGGCTGAAATGTCTAGTGATTGAGTTAAAAAAAAAAGTTTTTTCAACCAATTATTGTTCTATTGAAGTATTTTAAGTATGATTAAAAACACAAACTTTTTGCACTAATCTGGATTTTTATTTACAGTATAACAAACATGATAGAAAAATAATTACAGAAAAAAAATGTCAAAAAATCTGTGTTATCAAAATGGGGTCACAACGCCAAAAAAGGTGCATGAAGTACTACAACATTTCTAATACTGTTTAAATTACTTCCGTACCCCCGGTGCTACTCCCAGCCCAGGCTGATGAGCCGAGGCAGTGCCACGGGGGATCAAGAGGGAGCGCTGTACAGAGACGTGTGCAGAAGAAAAAAAAAAAGATCAGAAAGCAGCCTGATCGTCCCTGTAGATTCTAAACAGCTCCCTCTACTGTCCTTCGGGTGTTTCTTGTCTCAAATTAGATTGGCTTCTGCCGGGCAGAGTGCAGATTGAGCAGATTGCAGCCTTATCACGGTCGCACTCCTGCCAACTTTTCAAATTATTTTTCCTTAACTTTTGCTTTAGCACCTTAACCCCGTCCTTGCTATCCTGCTCATTTCATCTTCTTCTTTACTTTTGCTCTTTTTGTCGTACATGGCTATTCATTTATTATTATTTCACTATATTACGTACAGTATTTTTTTATTTTATACATAGTAATTTTCTCTAATGTTCGCCTTTTTTTTTGCATATCCTTTGAGTGCAACAAACATTTTGTTCAAAGCCATTGTTTCCCAAAGACTGGGTCGCGGCCCTCAGGTGGGTCACAAGAGATAATTTTTTGGGTTGTCTCGCATCATGTTTCCCAGGAGCTTACGAATAATGTTTATTGACTTGAGTCACGAAGGTTTGTGACTTTTAAAATATGGGTCTCCAGAAAATTGTAATATTAATTTCAACAAACAGAGATAGAGGAAAATAAATATATATTCAAGAGGAAAAAATCTTGCCGTGTGAAAACTGTGTCTGTATTATAAAAAAAAAAAATAACGAGCTTCATCCCGTGTTTGTCCGCGTGACCGCTTGAAAAGTACAGTTTCTGCTCGAGCTCTCCTTTATTCTCACCAGTCCCTCAGAGAGCAGCCTCCCTCAGCTCACAGTTTTTAACCAGAGAGGTCAGGCAAAAGGTCGGTATCTAATGAATGTCTCAGCTTCTCGCAGCCACCCACAGGGTTCATCGTCGGCAGTGGATCAGTGGACGGCAAACTGAGCGATGGCTCAGCGGTCGTCCGCAGTTACTGCATTAACCTCTGACTCGCTGTACATGTCGTGCTCGGATGCACACGGAGGAGCTTTTAGCTGATGCGTTTATTAAGTTATGAGCTGCTTATATTTAGGATACCGAGGACGGAAACGTGATCTGGGTTCAAGATTTTTTTCCTCGATCTTTTCAAAAACATCTGTATCTGTGAGTAAATTGTTACGGCAGATGTGTGACTGTGAACCTCCCTGTTTAAGGCCACAGGTCTGTGAAGTCACACTGTTGTTATTTTTGCAGAATGAGGCCTTGCGTTGCCCTGCTGAAAATATCCCAGAAAGAGACCTTGGACTGACCCGTCTCCCTAAAATTCCAGCACAAGCACCTCCGACAAAAGAAGCAGTCAGCTATTATTAGACACGCCGTAGACACCGATGTTTCTCAAACCCTCACAAGCTGAATCTGGGAGACAGCAGATGTGTCTCCTATTGGGCTTGAGACTAAAACTAAATACAAAAAGTGACCTTTTCTGGTAACGCTGTCCCAGAAAGGTTTGTTTTGATGTAGCCGGCGACTGCGTTAAAGAGAAAATGACTTCCTGAAGTACCGTAATGCTGTACACACGTGGCTACGCTAGTCATGCTAACATGGCAGTTTCTATTTGTGCTTACGAGACCAGATTTCTACATGCCTGTAGATACACTGATTGTGGATGCATCCTCTGTTTTTAATCGATCATATCTTTGCTTGTTGGTGAATACTTCCAATAATGTGTATTTTGAACCAGACAAAAACAATCTCTACACCACTTGCTACTCCATACACATATCAAAAAGAAGAGGTTAGCATGCTAACAGCGTCACAGGGTAATGCCGTTACAGTCACCTTTCCCTAATCATCCACATGATGTATGTTAGCTTACATCTCCTAATTAGCCATAACAACAGGGAAGAGGTGCTCAGTGGAGTCATGTGTGATTGAACTGCTGACCCCTGTGACCCTGACTTTAATGTGCAGAAGCCATGAGGGAGAAAAACAGTTTCCCTAAAGGGATCATTTAGGACAACAAAGCAAAATAAAGGACATTATTTTCCCTTACAGTTTACAGGCAGGCTTTTCAACCATTAGCTACGGTAACAGTAAACGCAACCACGTTTTAACTAAATGTACATCTTTTTTTTTTTTAATTCCAGTTCTTCCCCTATGGTGATGCGTCCAAGTTTGCCCAGCATGCCTTCAGGACCTTTGACAAGAACAGCGACGGCACCATTGATTTCAGGGAGTTCATCTGTGCTCTGTCTATCACATCACGAGGCAGCTTTGAGCAAAAGCTCAACTGGGCCTTTAACATGTATGACCTGGACGGGGACGGAAAGATCACACGGGTGGAGATGCTGGAAATCATTGAGGTAAGAACAAACCTGTCTCTTTTGCATCAGCCGGAGCGAGTTTGTGACACGACCACACGGACAAACTCGCAAACTCTAAATGCGCAAACAAAGCACGTACTGGCTCTCCACACAGACAAAACATGTTTATGTGGTTAGCGAGAAAACACCAAAAACGCAGGTCAAACTTAGCAGGAGCGCTAACTGACTCGGGTGTTTCAAAACCAGTGCAACATATGTCCTCTATCTCCCCACTCAGGCCATCTACAAGATGGTGGGCACAGTGATCATGATGAAGATGAACGAGGACGGCCTGACGCCTGAGCAGAGGGTGGACAAGATCTTCTCCAAGATGGATAAGAACAACGACGACCAGATATCGCTGGAGGAGTTCAAAGAGGCAGCCAAGAGCGACCCGTCCATCGTACTATTGCTGCAGTGCGACCTGCAGAAATAGGCCGCAGGGCGGGCGGGAAGCTTCGCCATCCGCCACGGACTGCACAGAAAGAATTTCATGTTCCATTCAGTTTGCAGCTATTTCCACTGAAAACGAAAAAAAAAAAAAAAAAAAATTATATGCTTGGACTACCTTTCAATGGATCTGCTTCTTGTGTTTGAAACACTCGTGTGCATGAGAATGTTATTTGCTATTAAAAGATCTACACACAACATCCGGGGGGTGCGCGGGTGCACACTGACACACCAGACACAAACACAATAACAATCTGTCACAACACACATCAGTAATGCCTCACACACACACATATATAAATATATATATAAATAGATACTATAAATACAAATATATATATATATATATAAATTATTAAAGAATCAACTGCCAAAATGTGAAGTGTGCAAAGTATTTTCCATACAGTTTTCATTCTACCAGAGCTTGCGCATCATTGTGCTGCGCAGAAAATTTTAACCGCTACACTATTTATTGTTACGAGTTGACCGACGCTAGCTGTAAGTGTATCATTTACCGAGTAATCTCAACCAAAAACGTTTCTATGATTATGTATGTCTCCAATAGGACACTTAATCCGTAACCTTAAAAAAAAAAAAAAAAGAGTTAGCTCTAGAAGTGATGGATTAACACTCATTTTCTTCCGACAAAAAAATAAATAAATCATGCTTGTCAGTGAATTAAAGAAAAACTGTAAATGTAGTTAATTTGCATGCCTTTAGGTTCTGCCTTAAAGAAGCTCCTCCTTCTCTATCCTGCGAGTGATGACAGAAAGCCTTATTGAGGTGGAGACACTGGACGAGTAGGACGTTTTTTCTGAAAACAAACAGTGGCAAATGAAAAATTACTACAGTAACTGTTATGTAGGAAGTAATTTCTGTGATTTTTTTTAACTGCTTTAACTGGTAGCATGTTACCATGTAGATTTAGATCAAGTATGTGTTGCTAGGAACTAAATACCCCCCTACTTTTAAACTCACTCTCATTATTTGTGAAATCAGGAGATTCTGAATATGGAATAGTCTGACGAAAAAAGGCTGAAAAAGATCTCAATTTGTACATTTTTTGGAAGGAAATGAGCTGCAAGCATGGATTCCCCGGCCAAAGATTTAAGGTGCTGAAGGAATACATAAAGTAGATCGTATTGTTTTATTTACCATCACATTCACTTGTATTTTTCTGATCGTGCCGCAGGTTCCATGAGAGGTTTGTTCGCAGTTTGAATGATCGCAGGGAGACGTACAAACAAAATACAGTATGCAAAATATAATACGTGACTAATGCAAATTATTTTATTTTGAAAACCCTCTTTTTATTGGAAGTGAAAAAAGATATTTTTCAAAATAAAATGGTTTGCACCAATAAACTATCATTGTTTTTGCTTTGCGGACTGATACCAAATTTCCCATGCTTCAGGTACTGGCCTCAGTACAAGAATACAGTTTGTATTTTTTTTTAAGGTTCCCGAGGTTTTTTTTTTTTTTTTCTTTCACGTTTTACACACATCACTCTCTTTCACTTACAGTTGAAAAAATTTTCCCAGATTGCTTAAAAAAAAGACATGTTTAAGAGATGTATGATATAGACAGTGTTGCAATAAAGATTGTGGTCCATCGTCTCCTATCTCTCTGCTGTGGTTTGTCCCTGTCTACTTTGTAATCTGAACTTCATGGACAGAAGTTTCTGTTGACAACCCTGTCATTTCTCTCTAGTGCTGTCCAGATACCAAATGTAAGCAACGGCAACTGTGTACAAGGATTCTTTTTGTAGCATGTATTGTGTCCCTGACGACATGGCTGCACTACACCCTGTGTTGTGATTTACTCTAATAAAAAGGAACTCAATGGGCTCCGTGTCTTCTGATAAGTCCACACACGGATGTAGGCGTTCACTTAAATGATAATCTGCACCCATACAGACAGTCAAATGCGGGTTCTTTTGAAAACACGGTTGGACTGGGACGTGATGAATGGAAATGTTTTCAGACTCACCCCACACCATTCGTTCGGCATTCATTCGTCACACACCTAAGTGTTGCTGATGTTTTGTTAGCACATATCACACGCATATTTAAAAACATGCAAACGGACTTGCTTAAATTTCTTAAGGTTAAGTCCATGTGCCTGCTTTTAACTTCAAGGGCCTATTTGACTGAAAGAGTTTCGGAGGCATTCACTATAGAACCAATTTGTCCATGTCCTAGTGCTTCAAACCATGTGCATTACTAGTAAACTTACTAAAGCCACGCAATTTTTAGCACACCGAGAGGAGAGCTTTAAGAAGGACATTTATTTTACAGAAACCTCACGCAATTTTTAGCACACTGAGAGGAGAGCTTTAAGAAGAAGGACATTTATTTTACAGAAACCTTAGAGTAAACATGGCTGTTACTCAAGAACTTGTTTACATACATCACATTACATTGATAGATTTAAATTATGTTTGCAGCAATGAAAAAGGGGGAAAAAACAGGACTTTAATGTGTTACCCAAGAAGATTAATCTGACCAACAGCAACTCTCAAGCGATTTCAATCTATTAAATTGACACATGAATCGTGTCTAACACATTATTTCTGCCTAACAGAGCAATCTGTGCCCTGATGCAACATAAAAATTTATACAAAAAAAAAGATAAAAAAACCCCCAAAACAAACTATGTTTTCTCTGTGATGTTACTTTGGGGGATCTGTGTTGATGCCATATTTTTCTTTGAGAAGCTTCAGCTGCTCCTCTTTCTTCTTTGTGTCCATTTTCTGGAAAGCCTGCAAAAAAGTTGATTTTTTGTTTAAAAAACTTAAATTAAATTGTGATGACGCTGTATATAAATGTTGTGTATGGGTTGCTTGTACATACTCTGTTTGCATTGTAATACAGCACCACAAGGTAGCGGTTGCAGACGTTGAAACCTGACAGGTGATCGCAAGCATTCTTGGCATCAAAGATGTCTTCATACACCACATAGGCCGTCCCTCTGGATTCTGGTGTGTTCCCTCTGTTAAAACATTAACTAGATGTAATTGTAGGTATAAACACACTCAATTTGTATTAAGCCAGAAAAAAATCATTATCCTCAGTGTCCAAAATAGTGGCAACTGTGACACCATTTGGATCTCATGACTCAACACACCACTCTCACGAAAACGTACACAACAGTATTACCTTCTAATTGCAATGCATTGGCACTTACGTTCTAATTTGCCGAATTGGCCCATATTTCCCAAAAATGTCATACATTTCCTCAGCTGTGATCTTGTAGGGGAGATTTCTGACATACAAGATTCTGTTCACCTCTGGGGGTAATCGTATCTATAAGAAAACACATTTAGATTAGGACAAAAACGATTAATGGCAACTATAGAAGTTTAGGCATAGAAGGAGCAGTGCTTACAATGTATATCAATAATCAAAACAGTCGTCATTGCAGTATAGCTTAAAGCCAATATCGATTTTATTTACAATTAAATGAAAAAAATCAAGTAAAATATTTTAGCTTATTTAACAATCTGGAATTAAACACTTGTTTTAATGTGTTTATTATAAGCAAATATATATCATGAAACTAATACTGGTTGACAACGAGCGAGCCTGTAATCAGACGATAGTTTTCGACAAAATAAGACATTCCATTTACAAAAAGCGAGATTATAACCTGACCTTAAACAAAGGTTTGTTTGTAAACGTACTTAAACCTCCAAATTTAAAGGGAAAAAACATTTTAGCTTTCGAGTTCGAGAGCGATTGTTTTGAGTTCAATGGCGTGCTAACTATCATACCGCATGCTAAACGTAATACTTATTTCCTAACACAGACGTCGTTTGGTTAACTAAACACCATGTGAGGCAACATAATTGTCTTATACTTACATTGGCGCGTTTAGCTGCTTGCATAGCCATGACTGTATACTTTTAAAGTTATGTTATAGTAAAGAACAAATGCGAAGTTTCCTTGGGTCCCTTTCTTCAATCAAAATGGCGAATGTCTCCAGCTGATGACGCACTTCCTGCACTGAACCTAGTCAACGTGGAACAACTATGTGCCATGTTGCCCCCTGCCGGTAAAATGGAGAACTCACAAGGAAAATAAAAAATAAAAATATAAATAAAAAGAAAAAAAGAAAATTAGATCGTTGTGATGTACTTTCTTTTTTCAAAGAAAGTGGAAACGACAGATTTAATAGAAAATGGCTTGATAAATACATTTCAACTAAGTTGGAAACTGTTTTGATATTTGATGTGCTAAATAAACACAAAAATGTGAAATGGTATAAGATGTTTGGAGCCTTTTTAGTATTTTACTATTACTTTAGTATTTGTAGCTACTACCAATTATAAATTATACGATTGAAAGATGTTGTGATTTTTTCAATGCAAATTAAAACCGGTCAGTTCCGGTTGTGATTGTATGGTACTCCTGTCGGACACTAATTCAACTGAACTAACGTTCGCCAGGTGTGGGTTTTGTTCTTTCCATATTAAAAAAAGAAAAATAATCTCGGAGGTGTTTCGGTGTTCAACTAGCAAATTCGAGGACATTAAAGAAAACCTCTGGAGGTAAAATGAGGTCGAAGTGAAAAGTTTTATCCGTCTTGATTAGGGGATTGACGGCGCCATTGTTGGTGAGTAGTTGGTTTAATTAACGACACGACAGGAGTGTGGATTAAAAAATAATTCAAACTGGCAATTTTTCGTTTTAATTAACGCTAGTGTTTGAAAGGGTACTTTTGTCTTGTTTTGTATTCTAATGAAAGTTTGGGGACAATTTTAAGCTTGTACTGCATTACATTTTGGTCAGCCATTTCCAAACACTGGCGGATAGGAGATTTAGAAAGATCGAAAAAAAAAAAAAAGCTATACTATACCATACTGAAGGAATACAATATCTGCGTTGCCGTGGTTTATTTCAGTAAAGTAAGTTTAATTTACTCAGTAAACATGTTCATTTTAAATTAGGCTAAATTCAGCCCATCTGTCAGGTCAATTGGTTTCGGAGAGAAGACATTTTGAAATTGAGAAAATGTTATACACGAGAATTAAATGGGGCGTTTCCTTGCTCAATTTCATTTTTATTTTTGGATCATATTGGTTTAATAAAAGCACTGTAAGCAGGTGGATTAAAATCTAAAGCCTGTTTCAGTGACCATCGTGAATTGATGCTGACTTCTCACTCGCGTCAGTTCTTGACGCTACATTTGCAAAAAGCTTCTATGAAATTATTACCAGTTATAGGAGGATAATTACATTTGGTGTGAAGTGGCGATATCAATTAAAAATTGGCAGGTGTCACTGGGACTAGGAACGCTCGCCTGATGGTCTAAGAAATTCATAGAGGTCACTAAACGGAATTCATAGTGAATTCCAGTCAAAAAGCCACACCTCTCCAAATGGAAACATGGCCAAGTTACCCAACGACTGGCAGTTTTTGCACCAACGTACCAGAGCTGTACAATAATATTTTTAAGGCAACGTGAAAGCACATTAAACTACCATTAAACTTCTAAATTTGGAGATGCATTTCAATAAATGTAAAGGACAAAAATTGAATTATGAACATATGGGAATAAGAAGGTTGTTAATATTTATAATTGATATAAAATGTTTATTTATTATATTTATAATATTATATTTATAATTGATATAAAATGTTTATGTGAAATACATGTATCATATATGATGGTGTGATTTTTTTTTTTTACATGTTACACAAGTACTAACCAAGTTTTGTCTTTTAATATTTGTTGTTTTTCTTTGTTATATTTTTCAGACAACATTTGATGCTTACTGTGTAATGACACATACCTCTGAATCATGGGTTGGTAAACAGGATGCTTTCAAAATGTCTTCAATGCAAGGATTGCCAACACCAGGATCAAATGTAAATGTTCTTATATCTAGAATCCACTTGCATCCACGATGTGTGCTCATTGAGTTCTGGGGAAAATTTGGCAGTGATAGATGTGCAGAATTTGAATGCTTAACAAGAGAGATTCAGTTTGTTGAGAAGTCTCTGAAAGAATTTGAAGGATGTCCTGGGGACCATTGCTTGGTGGAGGTGGATGGCACTTGGAACAGGGCCCGCATTGTCTCAAAAAATGACTATGAATATAGAGTTTTCCTTTTTGACAAAGGAGTGACAAAATGGACTACAACGCATTTCCTGGCTTGGGGTAAAAAGGAATATTTTAACCTTCGACCAGAAGTGGAGTTTTGTGTCCTAGCAAATGTGTTGCCACTCCCAACTGAAAGCAAATGGTCTCCGAGAGCTATTGAATTTCTGAAAACACTCTCTGGGAGTGCTGCGTTAGCACATGTCCAAGATGTCCTGGTGCCCCAAAGAACATTTGTCTTGCACATCCCCATCATATCCCAACAAATGTATGAGATGGGATTTGCCAAGAAGTTATCTCCAGACATCTTTCAGGATTTTGTGTTGATGTCTCTCATATCTGCTTGTGTAGCTGAAATGCAACCACAAAATCAACCGATTTCTAAGGAAGCAGGTGTACTAGACAAGCATGAGCTCTTCGTGCGTCCAAATCTTCCAGCAGGAACTGTGGAGACAGTCATAGTCACCCAAGTGACAAGTCCACACAAGATTTTTTGCCAGTTGAAGGATTTTTCAACAGATCTGAAGAACGTCTCAGATAAACTCACACAATACTACGAGGACCAAACTATTGCCTACGTTGTTGGCCCAAACATGATTGGATTCCCCTGTGCTACAAGAGGAAGTGACGGCAGGTGGTACCGTTCTGTTCTACAACAGGTATTTCCAAACAATGGTGTGGTGGAAGTGTTGAACATCGACTTTGGAACAAAACAGCTGGCTGAGCTCGATAATGTGAGACCACTAGCTCCAAAATTTCTCAAGTTCCCTGTTGTAACTTACATCTGTTCACTCTATGGGATCGTCAACAGAGGCACTGAGTGGAAACCCTGCCAAATCGATTTTCTCAGACACCTTCTTCTTTACAAGACAGTGGTTGCCAAATTTGAATACCAAAATGTGTCTGAAGGTGTTCACTATGTCACACTCTATGATGATGATAAGAAAAACATCAACAGTCTGTTTGGTTTAAAGGAAAACTGTTTAAAAGAGTGTGTGAAAATGCATGTTGATTATGCCCTTTACATCCCAGGATCTAGCCAAGAAGCTCAGTCACAGAAAATCGGCCTGCTGACTTTTGGAAAGACCTCAGAAGAAAAAGAACACAAATATGGAAATGTTGAGTTAAAAAAAGGTGTGACACCATCAGCAGAAAGGTTACCAGCAGAAGACCTTTTAATCAACTCCACACATGTTGCTACCATTCCATGTGTATCTAGCCCTTCGGTGTTTTGGATCCAAACACATAACTACTCAGTTGAGCTGCTTGAAGTGATGCATTGTATGTATCGTTTATTCAAAGAGTCAGAAAACAAAGAAATGGTATGCAATCCAACTGTTGGACTTTTCTGCGCAGCGAAGGCAGAAGATGGTGAATTCTACAGAGCAACTGTGTGTGAAGTTGGTAAGATGCAAATCAAGGTTTTTCTTGTTGACTTTGGAAACACTGAATATGTTGAACGAACCGATGTCAGATCTCTTCCAGAATATCTGAAAAAACTGCCACGTCTTGCACTGAAATGTAGCCTGGCTGGGGTCAAACCCGTAGATGGAGAATGGAGCCAAAGTGCCATTGAGTTTTTTACCAAAGCAGTCACAAAGAAAGCCCTTAAAGTTCGTGTCATTGCAAAATGTGATGACAACTATGTTGTCCGTCTGACTGATCCAGAAGCTGAACGGGAGAAGGACCTCAGTACTTTGCTGTGTACTTGGAACTTGGCTGAAAAAACTGAAAGTAAAACCAAAGCCACTCAGTTTACGCAGGATGCTTTCTTCAACTATTCACAAGTCAGACCTTCAGATCAACATAAAAACAGAACTGCTCCCGTCATCAGGAAAAGAAAACATCCCATTTTCAAGGAGCACATGTTTTCCATTGGGAGCGTTCTTGATGTCTCTGTGTCATACATTGAAAGCCCAAGTGACTTCTGGTGTCACTTGGTACAAAGTTCTGGTCATTTGAAAATGCTGATGCACGACATGCAGATGTATTACGATGACAGTGTGTTTGTGCCTTTTCGAGACACAGCCTGTGTTGCATGTCATCCTGACAACAGAATGTGGTACAGAGCCTTTGTAATTCGCAAACATGAGACACCGCATGTGGATGTTTTGTTTGTTGATTATGGCCAGACAGAAACCGTCCCTGTGTATGACCTTAGAAGGATATGTCCAGAGTTTTTAACTCTTCCAGGTCAGGCTTTTCGTTGCAGTCTTTTGAACCTCACTGACCCCACAGCTACTGTTAGCCAGTGGACTGATGAGGCAATCGCCAGGTTTTACAACTTTGTGGAAAATGCTGCCTCCCAGTTCTACATTTTGAAGTGTACCATATATGCCGTCATGTTCAATGAGCAGAAAATTGTTTTCAACATTGTGGATCTAGAAACACCCTTCGAGAGCATCTGCACCAGCATGGTCAATCTCGCCAAAAGAAGCTCTTCACAACCACTCATCTCTGCACCCTCTTTTTGTCTGGACTCTTACTACTACTCTACACACAATGTCAAAACTGGGACAGAGGAAAAAATGACAGTGACCTGTGTGAACAGTGTCAGTCAGTTCCACTGTCATCTTGAGAGGAACGCTGATGTAATTCAAGATCTCAGGATGAAAGTGAACAAACTTTGCCATCAGCTAAAGAATATTAAGGTACCATCAGTCTTTGGAACTTTGTGCTTTGCCAAGTACACTGATGGACACTGGTACAGAGGACAGATCAAGGCTACAATACCAGCCATTCTAGTTCACTTTGTGGACTATGGTGACACTATTCAGGTAGACAAACGTGATTTGCTTCCTGTACCTAAAGAGGCTAATGACATCATGTCTATCCCTGCGCAAGCCCTTGTTTGTGGTCTTTCTGATGTCCCCACCAATGTCCCTAAAGAGGTCAACAGCTGGTTTGAGAAATTTGCAACAGAGTCCACATTTTGTGCCCTGGTGGTTGCCAGAGAACCTGATGGTAAACTGCTGGTTGAGCTCTACCACAAAAGCACTCTAATAAATTCAAAGATCAAGACAATCTTTCAGATTGAGACGAAGAACCCCGAGAAAGCACCAGAATCCTCAGCAGAACATGAGCAAAATCATCGGAAATATTCCTCGAAGCTACTCCCACTTTTTTTTAACAGAACACATGATGTCAAGAAAACGTCCAACCAAAATCCAGAACAACAAATTATCAGTCAGATGGTACCTGTCAACATGAATGAGCACTCGGCACCAAAGCCTTCACCTCCCACTCGTGATGGTCAGAAGAAAGCCCTTTCTGTACAACTGTATATACCTCCGGCCAAGAGAAAGTCATGTGAAAAGATGTTGATCAATATGGACAATATCTCTGAGTCTGCAAGAATTGAGGCTACACCAACAGAGGAACAGCCTGTGAAATCCAGCCCACCTGCCAGAGACTGCAAAAACACTGCTGAACTCCCTAAACTTACTGAGTTGCCTTTAAAAGCCATCAGCTCAGGTATGGAAGCAGAAGTTTATGTCTCGCACTACAACAGCGCATTGAGTTTTTACATTCAACTTGTCCAGGAGGAGGATGAAATATTTTCAGTTTATGAAAAGTTGAACAATCCAACATCAATCCAGAACCAAACGGGTGGCATCAGTGAAGTACACCCAGGGGACCTCATTCAAGCAGAGTATGCTGATGATTCTTCTTGGTACCGAGCTGTTGTTAAAGAAATTCACAGCAACTCAATGGCTCATGTTGAGTTCATTGATTATGGGAATACAGCCATCATACCATTTTCCAAGATGAGTAGACTTGACCAGTCTCTCTTATTGCTTCCCATGTACAGCACACACTGTACCCTGAGAGATGTTGGGGAAGAAACACTGGAGATGATGTTGAATTTTGAAGAAGCGGTGTGTGGTGATGGAAACAAAAAGTTCAAATGCCACTTTATCAGGCAGTCTGTTGGATCTGTCTGGGAAGTCAGCCTAGAAGACAATGCGAATGTACTTACCTGTTTGCCCAGTGGTCCAGAAATGACTCTAGATCAACTTGAACAGGAAAAGAAAACCCCAAGACAAGACACAAACGAATCCCCTCTCAGTTCATACTGTCGTCAAGAGAGTCCAGAAATGCAACAGTTAAAGGGCTACATTGCCACTCTGAATAACAATCTTTCCTTTTGGTGTCAGTGTGCTGATTCCAAAGAGCTCGACGAAATAATGTCACAGATCTCGAGAGTTGCGAATACAGCTGATCACCATCCTATCGATGTCGGTCTTCTGTCCACTGGCAACCCATGTCTTGCTCTATTTCCAGATGATCAACAGTGGTACCGTGCACAAGTAATCGACAAAAATGGGAATGAGCTGTCAGTTTTTTTTGTGGACTATGGAAATATAGCTCAAGTCAGTATCACGGAGGTTCAGGAGATACCTGCTGACTTGGTTGAGCCGCCTCCACAGGCCTTTTTATGTGAGTTAGAAGGCTTTGATTCGTCATGTGGATGTTGGGCCAGTGGTGCATTTGAAGAGCTTTCTGAACTCACGAAAGACAAGTTGTTGGAGTTGACCGTCACCAAAGTACAAAGAGGTAAGAATCGCCTCAAATATTACGTAGAGATAGAATGTGAAGGACAGAGGATCAGTGAGAAGATGAGAACATGGTGGAACAGCTCCACCACAGAGAACAATCCTGAAGGTAAATCATTGCTGCAGGGTAACTCAACTGGTTCAGAAACTGCAATATCTGAAAGACTGTCAGATATTCCTCAAAGTACAGAGATAGAAGAAGATGAATGTGCTTCTGACCCCCAAGGAGAGCACATTTATGAACACGACGCAGGGGCAGATGAGGTCAAGTTCTTATGTAGTCCAGAGACTTGTGAAACGTCTGAAGTTCCGAAGTCTACTGCTGAGCTGTCACAAAATGGAGATCAGACATTTCCTGATCACAATATGGATGGTGAACCTAAAAGAAGTGTTATCCCTGAAGATGTGGAAGTCGAACCCAGTGTATTTCAGACTACACCCAGAGACACTTCACTGTCCGACAGTGATATAACAGAAGCCACTCTAGCCCCACCTGCTGACCAAGACGTTTTCTTGTTGGGTTGTGACGAGGACTGTGAGGAAAGTGCTGCCGACCACTCTACCACCAAGCTTAGTTCAGGTAGGCATCATTTATTTCTCCCTTAATATTTTATATTATTATGTTATTATGTACATGAATATAATCTTAATTGTTATCTTTGCTTCTATTATAATCAGATCAAGACAAAAGCTGTGATGAAAACAAGACTGACAATTCAAGTGATGGTTCTCTTACCAGTTCCACAGCAGCAAGAATGGTAAAAGTTTTTTTGTTGTTGTTTTTTTTTCTTAAAATTTTGTCACATCTGTGGACGAATTTCATGTTGATGGTATGATTTTCTTACAGGTTCCATGTCAAGATTTTAATCCAATGAAGAGTACTGACCTCCGCAAGTCACCATTTTTAATTTCAGAAGACTCGAAGCAGGTACATGGATTTACTCTGCTATTAGTGTGTGTTTTTAATGTTAATGAATGTTTAAAAGTACATTCTGTGACATTTGTGAACTATTTTAAATTACAGGTCCAGAACAATGCCTTTGGTGAGTAATTCTGCACAGTTAGCAGTTAACAGGAGAAAAATATTTTCTCTTTAACTCTAAGCAGCATTACTCAATAATTGAAATTGATTTACGATTACACCTGTACTTTAAACGAGTCAAAGTTTTAGAATCTGTAGTTTTTTATCACTTGGACAATGTGGCGATACTTTGAGTGACGGGGATGTTTTTCTACAGAAACTACAGTATATGCTGCGGACACTGTGGACGACAAGGTACATGTATAACCTCCAAGGGTAAAAAGTTTAGAGAAATCTTTACCACAAGGGCACATTTGTTTTATAATTAAGAACCAGATTTGACAACCAACATCGTTCGCACCTAACTCGTGTTTTTGATTTCAGGAGAAAACCATGATTGTAAACGAAACCTCCGAACTCCAAACAGATTCTGGTTTGTTATATTTTTTTCTTTAGTTAATTTGTCTTATTTATTATATTACTTATTTAACCATTGCTCTAACATCCTACTGTGGTTGCAGCTCTGCCATGTGACAGTGACTCTGAAATTTACCTCCCTGCATTGGTAATGTCAGTACATTAATACTTTAATAGAAATGATGAACCAATTATTTAGTGAATGTTGATTTCATACTCTACAGAGCCACCTGGTGGAGGATTTGACTCACAGCGTTGGAATGAGCAGTTTGACAGATGTCTTTACAGGTATTTAGGCTAATAATCAAGTTCACATGATAGTCAGTGAAATAATCAAATGATGTATGAATATTAAAAAAAAACAATTTTCCCAGACCAATGTCAACAGTCTGAACCAGAGGAGAGTGAAGATGAGAAATATACATCACCTGAACAAGAAAAGGTAAAAAAAAAAAAAATGCCTTCAATTTTAAAGGTGACTTTTCGGCCCGAAGACAACATTATGGTCTAATGCAGGAGGTTTCAGGAAGTTCAGTATTGTTTTCAACTTTCAAGACACATATCAACCATTATTTCTCTTTTTAATTCTAAGGAGAGCAGTCCTTCAGGAGAAGTGCCTTCCACTGATGACAGTTTAGGTACGTTCTTCTACAATTTGGATTTTAAATCAGTCATTTTGACCTATTGCCATGCACAAATGTAAATAATGATGTACTGCATGTATTCAGAATTGATTCGAACTCAATTAAAAAAGGTGATTAAATTAAATCAGGTTAGTTTGCACAATGTTAAAGGTTATTCTATATATTAAGATCAAACAAATCTGTTTAGGAAAAACTTCATTTCTATCCAGTGTTCCTTAATGAAAATATAAAAATGTTTAATCAGCCACGTTTTTCTTATAAAAACAATGCAGTTTTATCATTTCAGTTGAATTGGTAAAACAGATATTAGTCAACACTATCATTCATTAGTTTTGATCCATGTTTTTCTTTCCTCTTTAGAAGTCCAGCTGGCAAAGACAACCCATCTGCCTCTGATCATCATCGATAGTTCTGGTGATATGGCACACATGTCAGAGGAGTAATGACTTCCTGATTACTCTCTGATGGACACTTTGTTTAACTGTTCGAATAGAAAGATCCGAGTTCATCTTTTGCTTGTTGCTTTGTTCATTAATGGAGCTGAACCTCCATCTATTTTGCTATTAGCATTTATTGTTAAAAACACTCCTACAGAAGTTATTAGTTAGTTGAGAGTCTAAACTGTTTCCTCTTCTGTTTTGATACATTGCCCAGAAAACTTTTTTTTATCACATGTTGAGAATTTTTGTTTTCTTTGAAGCCTGATTTAAATGTTTGCAGAAGGCCTTGGGGAAAAAAAGGCACACTTTGAGTTTTTTTGCATGAGAATATTCACTCCATAAAGAGCACTTTGAGGTTTTTTTTGCATGAAAATATTCATTCCATAAAGAGCCATTTATGTTTGTGTACAATAAATATCTAAACGAATCTTTACCAATATTGCTGATTTTGGTATTCTGTTTATGTCAAAATGTAGTTCCTCATGCTGTCCTGTAGGTGGTGCATTTGAAGCTCTATTTATAATTCAAGCTTGACTGTTTGAAGCAGGGTTCAGATCTGGCAACCCAGAGCTCTGCAAAGCTTTAATATATTATTTTTTTTATAACTGTGAGCAAACAAACCAGGAAGTCAACAAATGTTTGAGATGACAATATACAAACCAGATTTATTATTCATTTATGGTTACCTATAGTAAGAGTAAAAAAAAAAAAAGCAATGGAAATAGTAGTGCACTCTCCTGCAGCCTTGTAGTGTTGACTTGCCCTTCGGATAAGCTCTTTTGAACGGATGTTTCAAAATGTCTGCTGCATGTCATTAAAAAATAGAAATCTCAACAATCATAAACCAATCACATTTTAAGCTCATTCCTGTGTCCCTCAACTTCATAGACAATAATGTCATGCTGCAAGTAAGACACCATATGTCAGTTCAGATGGAAGACTGAAGAAAAGTGGTATTAGTTCCTGGAATCAGGTCCTTGTCTTCCCCATTTATCAGATGGTCCCACTGATTAAAGTTCTTCTCCAGACCTACAGAGGTTTAAAATAAAAGTCATGAGAAGCACAGAGGCTGTAAATGCTAAAATATACTGCTAAGATTTTGACCTTAAATGTGTTCTTCTTACCAAGATGGCGCTGCAGAAAGGCTAGTGTTGCTCTGTTGGACAGGTCTATGGCAACATCTGGGTCGATGTCACCCTTCAGCTTCATCAGTTTGCCAATCCAGCTACCAGTCAGGAAGGTGAAGTCTGGGAAACTCTGGTGGACTGCGCCTCTGAAAAGATGAGCCAAAATCAATATTGACATTCAAAATTAAAGCGCTAACCACAGCAATTTGTGAAATGAATCATGCTAAAATCAAATGTCCTGTTGTAATCTTAAAACTTCACTTTTGCCCTTCTTACTTGATTGTGATCATTTTCCTGGGGATGACGGCCGAGTCCAGCTTCTGCATAATGCTGAGGTTCTCGCCCGACTGAAACGTCTCTGAATTGATGAAGAAAATCGGCTGCTTCACCTGAGGAAATATCTGTTTGTCTAGAGGAAACATCCAGGTGTCCAGGGCCACACCACACCTGGTTTAAAAAGAAGGAAACCAGGAGGCTGTAGAAACTAACTTCAAAATCCACATCGCCTTAAAGGTTGGTCCTGGTTAACTATGGCTATGAAAACATTATGATAATGTTATTTAAACTACCTTCTGCTCTTTTCAAACTAAATAATCATTGTAGATTATTGATTCTGGTCCTTTTGTCAGTCAACATACTTGAATTTAACCTCTTTGCACAGAGTTTCGATCACAGTCGCTCCTCCAAAGGAATGTCCTATGATTGCTGTTTTACACAGATCCATGGAGTTCTGTTGGTCAAGAAAAAAAAACAGTGAGGTTTTGGTTTGGTTGATTGGCAGAGAGTATATGTTGTATATACATTTTGACATGACTAGATGTAGTGTAGTCATTTTGTTTTTAATTATTCATATTACTCTTCTGCGGGTACCTTCAGTGAAGCCCAGTCAAACTGAGTTGGTAGAACATTCTGTACTTCTATTCCTGAGTTAATTTCAGTAAGTTTTTCCAGAGCCAAGATGCATTCATCTGCTCTCTGTTTCACCTGAAAGTGAAGACAGGAAAACAATGTCACCATTGCAGCACAGTCACCAGGAAACATTTGTTCTGTTTAACGTAACGTAATGTGTTTAACATTAACATAACATTTGTTTAACATTTTTAAAATAGCCTTAAACTAAATGTGGATGTAAAAAAATAAAATAAGACATGCACGAGGTTTAATCAGACCACATGTGAGTCACACTGGGTTTGTACAGAGAACAATGGTCAGACATTGTGTAACCCAGCACAGCAGTCTAATTCCTTAACCCACACAGTCACAGTGACAGCAAAGAAGGATCACTGTTTTTTTTTTTTACCTGATTGTTTCTCAGCTTGAACTCGTCTACTCCGTGCTGCAGAGGTTCGTAGTACATCCACTCCTTCACCAAGTGCTCTCGGTCCGAGGCCGATCCCTCAGCCTGGTTCTCAGCTTCTCCCTCTGACTCTGTCTTGAAATAAAACGTGGCCGACGCTGACTGATCTCTGCAAAGTGACATCATTATAGCAGGCCAAAGACAAAGCAGCAGCTTAAAAATATAATTTCCTCTTCAAAACAATTTTTGATAAAATAACTATAGAGCAGAATCTATGGTATTTATGGTATTTTCATACCATAATTAATTCATAATTTATATAATATATGTATAAGTTGATCAGCAGCAGCATGGTAGGAGATGATTAAGTTATTTAAAAAAAGCAATTATCTTTTATTAGGACATTTATGGCTTGACTTTTCTATTGACTAAATGCAGATTCATACTGTTAAAAATAGCACTTTCCTACAGCTTTGAACAACTTCTGAAGATCAGTAACACACCAGCTAAAGCCACACAAATGACAGACTATATGGAGGCACTTTGTTTATCTCTATATGTCCCTTGTTACCCTACTGAAAAGAAAAGTGATGACCTGGTCTGTCCCATTGTCTGAACCTCTCTCAACACCTACTGTACTGCACGGACGAACAGGCAGCTGCTGTTAGAAAAGGGATGCCCTTTGTTATTGTTCACTTAACTAGTGTTAAAGCAAAGTCTTCTTTTACAGTGGGACATGATTTATGATCATGACGTGCCATATATCTGCTGGATGAAAACGGTTTGTATATTAGTGTGTAAGCTGGATTACCTGTGTTCCACAGATGCCACGATGAAACCTTGAGAGGCCAGTTCTGAACATATAGCTGAATACAGAGTCCTGACAAAACACATTGTACATCAGTATTGACATTTACAGTGTGAGGAGAATCTCACAGTGACAGATAAGAACATAAGAATTTACTGTGTGTGTGTATGTGTGTGTACCTGAAGGCACCCAGGCCATGAGAGAAGACGATCACAGGACACTTTTCATCGCATTTAAATGGAGCATCAAGAAGAGCGGGAGCCTTAAAGGAGCCTGGAATCATTAAAGTCAAGTAATTGAGGTACATTATTTTTGAAAATGCATAATGCATAAAGTACATTCAAATTACCATAAAGGCTGTTGAAAATCCGTTCACTGAAAACCCTGTTCATTTTCATGAAGATGGCCAGGCCATGAAAATACTCCATAGATGGGATCCAGTCTGTTTTTTCTGCTCCCTCCAGCTCCTGGCAAGGATAGTACAGACGGAAGAAGCTTCCCTTTGAAAGAAACACAGATGGATGTTTTGCACTGTTAGGCAATGCAGTGTTGTTTCCTGATATTTGAGAAATAGTTAACTTAGTCACTAAGCATGAGGATAATAAACTCCAAAAGTAACCACTTTTGATGATTCAACAGCTACAGCAACTTTAGGTGCTAATTTATTTGCCTTTACTGATTACAGGCTGTATAAAAAACTGTGGACAAACTGTACATGGGCTGTACCTGAGCAGTGTGGTCCATCATGAAGTCGGTGCATCCCACAGAGTTGGGACCTTTGCCTGGAGGGATCCTAAGATGATTGCAGCTGTTCCCCATTATGAAGAGTGAGTATTTTTTCTGCTCTGTGGCACAAACAGGTCAATATTGGTTTAAAATGCATCAAAAAGAGTCAGGATGACATGCGAGAACAAAAAAAAAACCAAAACAGTAGGCGGTACTTTTTAAACTGAGAGTTGGGCAAACAGTTAAATGTAAGAGGAAGTGAAGGCAGATAAAAATAAATTAAGGGAATAAATAGTACAACTATATATAGTATAAAGTAAAAATAACCTAAACCTAAAAAGATAAGTGATACTATATAGTTAATAAATTAACTTTGTAAAAGCTACAAATTAGAAATGTCAACAATATCGCTGATCATAATGTTCTAATGTTATACAACAGCTGGTAGACTCTGAGTTACATTAGTGCCATCTACTGGATCTTTCATCTACTAGCAACCACTAAGGAATGTCAAAACGAGGAAAGACGGCAAAAACAGTGACATTAGATGAAAATACCAACATAAGCTTCTAGTGAATCATTACAAATGCTACTTATTATCGCAGCTTACATTGAAGTTAAGTAGATTTATTGTTTGTGAGGTCGAAGGTTATATGGCCGTATTAAACGTAAAAGAAAAATGTAAACTCAAACTATTATAAAAAGTTTATCAAGTTTGTAATGTCTTATATTTTTTTCACGAATTGTGTATTGTTACAAAAAGTAAGCACATTGATGACATTGGTCAACAAACACAGCATACAGATGGCTTTAACGTGACATTTGCCCGAATTAACCCCATCTGTGTGAGCTGAGGTCTACCGCAGTTGTTGCAAAAATGACCGTGTTGTCACGAAAACAAGAGAATGGTTTTAGCATACCTGTTCTTGCCCACGGGTATATTCTCTTTACTGTCAAACGTACAATTCCTCCATGAGATAACATCCACCGTAGCTCCACATTAGCTCGTTAGCCAGACAGTCTTGTAATAAACTACTAATAACCCCAGCAAATAAACAACAAAGATAGAGCTATCGTATATGCAGTGACAGCATATCGACTGTTTGTGTAAATATATCAGTTACGCAACATTTCGACGTTGTTAGTTTAACTTTATCTTGGAAAATGTCCGGTTCTGAATTACTAACTCGGGAGTGGTTTGACAGCTTATCACTGTTGGCTAACACTTAGCAGAAACGGCTAAACCCCAGCAGTCGTACTGCAGAGACATGAAGCAAAACGCATTCCAGTATGTTCGTCAGAGTGACAATCTCGCCATATGGTGTTATTTGCTCTATTTGCTTTATTCTAGCATATTAACCGTTCATATATTACAGTCATTATCGAAGCATTCATCGTTTTCCTTGTTTGAGAAATTATTGCTTTGAGACTGACAGTGACAAAGAGAGGGAGAGCAAATAAGTGTGGATTTTAATCGATATTTAAAGGGAATAATTGTGGATTTTAATCGATATTTATATATTTTTTGTTTATTTTATTTGTAAAACTATCTACCAGATTCCTGTCCTGTGTGTATTGAATACAGATGAAAATAGCTCCATACCTCTAGGAGGCAGCATAATTCTTAACATCATAAAATCCAAGGAAGTGATTATGTGTGAGGATGCGGTACATGCAGTATAGATAACATTAAAACAACTTTCAGTCAGCATTTAAGCAACAAAATGAAGCTGGTGAGTAAAAATTTTCATAGTAAACAACAAATTCAAGAACCAGATGGTTTTATAATGTTTTTATGGCGTCTTTTTCTAGAAAACTGCGAATGTAGCAGTTAGCTTTCCTGCCCCATTCAGTAAAAGGGGGTCTGAGCAGACGACTGTACCCCTGTAAACTCGAACAACAATAATAACTGACTGGGTAAAAAAGAAACATTTTCTAAAAAAAATAAAGTCAGAAAAAGAAGAGCAGGGATCAGTCAGAAATTAAATGTATGTATTGTGTCGTATGAATTTTATCATGGCGAATAGTTAAAATGGATATAAACACAGGACTGACACGTACGATATAGAAACAAGTAAATGCAAACTGAAATAGGACGAAAGTCAACGAAGTATAACATTGAAATTTCTGGACAATTTGTCATAGATATATATTTATGCAGCTGACACTGCATTTGTGCCTGGTTTTACTGTATATTTTGCACGGTATATACTATTATACGGTATATTTTTACTGTTTTACTATTTTCTACCATCAGTATTGTCTATCTGGCCATCCAACGCTGCCCTGCAATGTTCTTAAGTTCAAGTCCACCACCATCATGCTGGATTGCGGTCTGGACACCACATCTGTTCTTAACTTCTTGCCCCTTCCGCTAGTCCATAGGTAAGACACTGGCATTTATTTATTTATTTTTAATTAATTTGTTTCTTTGTTTATATGCATTTATATATTTAGTTTATTTTACAGATGTACTTGTCATCGTTTCACTCTTTCTTAAATAACTTTTGTCTTATTTAGCCCAAGACTCTCCAAGCTTCCTGGATGGGTCTCCAAAGATGCAACAGTAAATCTGGAGAAGGTATGAAACAATTTTTGGTGTATTTTTGACTTGAATTATAAGCTTTGTCTTTTGGTATTTTTTTACGTCATCTCGAAGGAGGTCAACATTGTTGATCATCTACTTCAATTTTGACCATAAACTCTAAATTTTATTGTTACTGCCATCATTTTATTTAGAAATGTAATTAGACCCTCAAAAGTAATTTATTTTCTCAATCTTTTCAGGAGCTGAAGGAGTGTGCGGGAAGAATATTTGTGGACTCGCAGCCGGAATTCTGTCTTCCTGAGGTAAAAAAGAACCTAATAATTAACCAGACTCTGTATAAAGAATGGGTATTCATTATCATAGATATTCTTCACCGCACGCTGAACTTCTGAATGGATATCTGTATAAAGGATGGGTATTCATTATTATAGATATTCTCCACCGCACGCTGAACTTCTGAATGGATAGATCTTTTAGAACTTGACACAGTTGTAGTCATTTTTACTGTGGAATTGTGATAAATATTTTCCTTGGAAAATAAAATACACGAAAAATGTGTCAAGCCGTTGTTGTTTAGAATGTGAATCTAAGAACTGAATTATTTCATCTTACACAGTGATAATGACTTGACCTGAATTTTGTGTCCTCCACAGAAAGAACTGCTCGATCTGTCTACGATTGATGTCATCCTTATTTCAAACTATCACTGCATGATGGCTTTACCCTACATCACTGAACACACAGGCTTCACGGGGACAGTGTATGCCACTGAGCCCACGCTGCAGATCGGCAGGTAAGAACACACACTTATTGAACAGAAAGACAAAAATGGTACAAAAACGTTCACACTGCTTTTCTATTAGACTGCTAATGGAAGAGCTTGTAAACTTCATGGAAAGAGTTCCAAAAGCCCAGTCTGCCACCTGCTGGAAGAACAAGGACGTACAGAGGTAATAGCTCTTAAATAAAATAAATTGTGGATATTTTGTTTCTGGTCGACTTTTGTCAAAAACTATCATTTTAAAACTTTACATAATTTTATTAGGACACTCCCTGGGCCATTGAAGGATGCTGTGGAAGTATGGACATGGAAGAGATGCTACAGTATGCAAGAGGTGAACTCTGCTCTGAGCAAAGTGCAACTAGTGGGTTATTCACAGAAAGTGGTAAGAACTCGTCTTATTCAATAACAATGATATTTTTAGATAAGTTGATGTCCTTTTCTTGCTTCCACTCAGTGACTCACACAAGTGTTTATTTTTATAAATTAAGTGCAGGATAGAGTTTAACCTTTTCATCCAACTATTCCTTTTCAACACTTAATCCTTTTCAGGGTCACAGGGACAGTTGAAGCCAAACCCCTCAGCTAATTCATGTTATCTATATATCTTGATCTTGTGGTAAACTTGTCTCCCCTGCAGGAGTTGTTTGGAGCAGTGCAGGTCTCCCCCTTGAGCTCGGGCTACTCATTGGGCAGTTCTAACTGGCTCATTCAGTCTCACCATGAGAAAGTGTCATATGTGTCCGGTTCATCTCTCCTCACTACACATCCACAGGTGGGTGGTTAGAGGCTAAACTTTGTCTAAACATTTGTTTTAGAGTTGTCTATGGAGCTATGATTATTTAACTATTTCAGGTAAAAAAAAAATACACAGCTCCTTGTTGACATTTCTGATAACTTCCCTTTTTTAGCCAATGGACCAAAGTTCTCTGAAGAACAGTGACGTTTTAATTCTGACTGGTCTAACCCAGATGCCCATGGCCAACCCTGACGGCATGCTGGGAGATTTCTGCAATAACCTTGGTATGTTCATATACATATATAGCATTATCTATTGATTAAATGTTTAATAATGTTTTACTTTATGTAATTAATTTCCCCTAACTCCTCTTTGCCCGTAGCCATGACAATTCGTGCTGGAGGCAATGTTCTGGTTCCATGCTACTCCTCAGGAGTGATCTATGACCTGCTGGAGTGTCTGTACCAGTTTATTGACAATGCTAACCTGGGGACCACACCTTTCTATTTCATCTCACCTGTGGCCAACAGTTCGCTGGAGTTCTCTCAGATCTTTGCTGAATGGTAAGCAGTTTCTTATTTAAAAAAAATTAAATGTTTCTGACCTTTCGTTAGATGATGACATGTGTCCATATTTCTAATTACTTTCAGGCTTTGCCACAACAAGCAGTCAAAGGTGTATCTCCCAGAACCTCCATTCCCACATGCTGAGGTGAGTCACGCTTCTGTCTTCACCACTACTAAAATGACACTGCTTTGTCTTTAAGACATAACAGGAGGCTGTGGAAGCTTTCTTGCTCAACTCTGCAGCAAATAAATGGGTAGTTTGGTTTTAATTAAAAAAAAAAAATGCATTTAAAATTTTAAATAGCTTCCCCAAAATGTATTTATTTTTCTGACATGAGGACTTAAATGTCTCTCTGTGTTTGTTGACGTCCAGCTGATCCAAACCAACAAGCTCAAGCACTACCCCAGCATTCACGGTGACTTCAGCAGTGAGTTCCGTCAGCCCTGTGTGGTTTTCACCGGCCATCCCTCCTTGCGTTTCGGTGACGTGGTTCACTTTATGGAGCTGTGGGGCAAGTCCAGTCTCAACACCATCATCTTTACAGGTAACTGCAGCTCACTTATATTATATTTTAAAACATCTATTCTCCAAGTCAGGGTCTGTCACTGTCTGAATAGTGAATGTATTGATTTAAAAAAAAAAATTAAAAATGACTGAGCTTGCTGAACTTTGCTGTTTGACACAAACAGAGCCAGACTTCTGCTACATCGACGCCCTGGCTCCATATCAACCCCTGGCTATGAAGTGTGTTTACTGCCCCATTGACACACGGCTCAACTTCCACCAGGTGTCAAAGCTTCTTAAGGAAGTGCAGGTACGCTTTTTGTACTGTAGCCTTATGCTAATTATTTCATTTTTAAGTTGTGTACTTTTGCCACCAGGAGTAATAAGATAAATAATAAAAAATGGAACACACTCTGAAAGACTCACCATTCACTGGTGTTTTCGTCCTACAGCCCCTCCATGTGGTGTGTCCGGAGCAGTACACCCAGCCACCGCCTACTCAGTCCCACCGGGCTGATCTAATGCTGGAGCTGCAGCCTCCCCCAGTGCCTTACAGACGCTGCTCTGTACTCAACCTGCCCTTTAGACGTCGCTATGAGCGTGTCTACATCCTTCCCGAGGTGAGCTGCAGCACAGCAGTAAACGACAGTGATGAATACATTCAAGTTGATTATGACTGAAGAGCCCGGTGGAGTTCTGTTGAACTGTTTCAATAAATGATCGGAACTGCAGCATCTGAAGCAGATGGAGTCACTATCTTAAGAGTCTCATAGGACACGGTGACATATGGTGGATAAAAAGCTGTCAAATGAAAGATAGAGATGCATTATGGAAATGTTCAATCTCGTGCCTAGAGGCAGGTGGCAGTTTTAAATAGGATTCTCTCTGTTCCCAGCTGGCCAACTCCCTGGTGCCTTCAGAGATTAAACCTGGCGTCTCTGTGGCCACGGTTTCTGCAGTGCTGCACTCCAAGGACAACAAGCACACACTGCAGGTGATTCTGTCTGCTCTTGTGAATTCTCACCACATAGTGTGTATACAATACCACGTGCAGCCTCCACACGCTCCACATGCCATTATTTTTCCCGTATGTTGCATCACCAGTCCGTGCCCAAGCCCCCTCCTGTGCCCCCGAGCAAGAAACGGAAGCGAGTCCTGGAGGAGCCCCCTGTGGTGCAGACGCCCAAACCCCTGCTGAGTGGAGCCGTGCCCTTAGAAGGTTTTCTGGCCACGTTACAAAAGGTGAGATGTGCAGACATTGGCTGGAATTAAGATATTGACTTAGCAAGAGCCTACAGTCAGTTTATTTGTCTTTTATTATATCATTTATGTCATTATTAACTTCACAAGCACTTAATTTTGGGGGCATTTCTGGGATTATTTTCACATGACTAAACTTTTACCTTTTATTTTAAGAAATAAAAATGAACGGGGAGTTTTACTGAACTTGAATCATAGAACGTATCCTCACACAGACTTTTCCAGGTATAGTGAAACACCAAACTGACACAGTGTTAAAAAAAGGTGTGTTGATGTCTTTGTCCGCAGCATGGGATCACGGAGGTGAAAGTGGAAGAGACAGCAGACGGTCACATCCTGCATTTGCAGGCAGAGGATACACTGATCCAGCTGGAGGAGGACGGGACACACATAGTGTGCAACAACAATGAGCCGCTGCGAACCACACTGAGAGACCTGGTGCTCCGATTCCTGCAGAAACTGTGACACAGACATAATTACACACTTGGTTGGATCCTCGCGGCGACATTAACAGAAACTGTATCAAAGTGTGAAACGTAGTGAACTTTCAATTGAACTGTGTTCACCATTTCATTGTATAGTCTTGTAAGATAGTTTTTTTTTTGGGGGGGGGGGATTAAATATGTTTCAGAGTAAATGCCACCTTGTCTGCTCTTTCATTACTGAGTACTCTTGTGAAAAAAATGGTATTAAAACATTCAATGATCATCAGTCAGGATCAATGGGGGGAGGGAGTGGGGGGTACTGAGAGAGGTGAAGCTTCACTGAGCTTCGTTTTGCACTTTTGTACCACACTTCCTACCCCTTTAGTTTAATTTTTTTTTTTACTTACAGTTCCAGCATAAATGCTAACATTTTCAAGCGGTATTCTAGTGTATGCAGAAATAAGTGTGGGGAAGTGGGAAAAAACAATAAATGTACTTGCCTTCAGTGAATTCACAAATGGATGAAGGATGTCCTCTATTTGGACTTGTTCTCAGTGTCAACCAGTGCAGAACGGATTCCCAGCTTTTCCAGCTCCTCCACCAGGTCACCGTTCTGGTGCATCTGAAGCAGGATGTCGCAGCCTCCAACAAACTCTCCGTTGAAGTAAACCTGAGGGATCGTGGGCCAGTTGGAGAAGTCTTTTACTCCTGGAGAAGACGGATGATATTTATGTTAGTCAGACAGAAATAAAAACACAACTTACTGCCCACTACTGGGCTATTAAATGAAACTTTTTTTGCAATTGTGTGGAGAAAAATAGTTAAACAATTTCACAAGACACAATGTGTTAATCAGAGACACAACTTTGCAAGGATTGTGGAAACATTTCCACAACATGAAAATATATTTTAGGATTTTTTCTGAAGCTTCTGCTTCCTTCTATTGTTTACATTGCTTAAAGCAGAGATTCTTAACCACTGTGCAATTATCTCATTTCCCTTGATTAGTCTGAAAAATATTATTTATCTACTGCCAATGATTGTCTTTGTTCAACTATGCACCAATGACTGAACATTTGCCAAAGGTAGGTTCTTTAATTCCCACGAGTATATCAGGGTTGTGTTCAACTAAACAGACGGAAACAGAAGTTTCACAATAAACATGTAAAAGTAAATAAATTCAAACTAGGTGATTTTATATTTTTGTTTGGTGGTGCAACGTAGGATTTTACTTATGCCAGAACAAACAGGTTTGGCAGGAAAGGACAAGAACGTTTTAGGTTTAGCACTACAGTACTGATGGAATGGCGTCTCTTCTCAGCGCCACACCCTGTGATCCTGCTGCAGAGAACTGATAATAACCATAGAAACTAGTAGAAAAAGACACTTGGAGCTGCGCTTTAGTGTAACACAAAACTAACCCCTCGGGAACAAACAACAATTTCCCCAGTGCGGTATCAATACAGATTAACCGAAACTCAAAAGGGCAAACAAACAGCTACATAGCAACACTGCCTAACAACACAGCCTATCACCAGGTAGACCCCCTCCTCAGACAACCCTGAAGTTTGGTCGCTCGCCAGGGATCGTTGTAATGGACAGTAATTGTAATGGACAGCTGACTGACCTTGTCTGAGGCGCTGGTCCTCCAGTACGTTGTATGATGCGTAGTCGTCCACTCCGTGCATCCGGAGGATCTGGACAACTGCGTTGCTAAAGCCGCACATGGGCTGACTTGGATCCCCCTTCATGAAGACCACCACCTTGTCCTTTTTCACTATCTCTGCAAGGTCTTTTTTAATGCCCGTCGCCGAGCACAGAAACCGCTGTCCCGGAGTCAAACACATTCGTGTGTCAGCTTGTCTGGTCAAATACACCGCTGACCCAGGCCGGAGACACCTAGCTGTAGCTCTAATAAGGCTGTTCATCTTCTTTTGTTTGTAAAAAAACGTATGTAATATAATATTAGAAAGTCAAAACTATTGTCTTGCTTCGCCTCCAGCCGAAATAGAACTTGACTCTTACTCAACAGTACTCTCGCGAGAAAGGGCGCGACCAGAAAGCTCATTGGACAGGTTGTGTGCCAATAACATCTATTCTGATTGGCTGTTACTGAAATCCTGAAAATGTGAATTAACCACAGGATTGTTTTTAATAGAAAAAGAAAAAAGAACTTTGCTAGTATATATACTATATTAGTAATATATTAGCATTAGTAATAATTACGAGGGGTTAGTTTGACACCTCATATTAAACACAATTACGTTTTGTCCCTCCCACAACAAAGAATTTAAGCATTTCCGGTGCATGGTAAACAAAAGGAAGTAAACGGCTTTGGTTTGAAAGATGGCGGCGCACACGGAAAAGAACAACAAACAGGGAAAACCTGCAAAAAAGGAGGCTCAGCCTCTTATAATCGCCAAAACTCCGGCCGAGGAGCAGCGTCTCAAGCTGGAAAGGTTGATGCGGAACCCCGATAAGCTCGCTCCAATCCCGGACAGACAGAGGGAGTGGAAGCCCCGGGCTCCCCCGGAGTTCGTACGCGATGTGATGGGCTCCAGTGCCGGGGCAGGCAGCGGAGAGTTTCACGTGTACCGACACCTCCGACGCAGAGAGTATCAAAGGCAAGAATTTCTGGACAAAATGTCAGAGCATCAAGACAAGGACGAGCACTACCTGGATAAGGTGGAACAAAACAAACAGGAGGCCGAGGAGAGAACGGCAAAGCGCCGGAAGAAGAGAGAGAAGCTGAAGCAGAAGAAAATGATGGCCAAGAAAGCCAAACAGGAAAGTATCAAGAAGGAAGACGAAGCCGAGAAGAGCTCGGAAAGCAGTGAAGAGGAGAAGAAAGAAGAAGAGGAGCAGGAGGAGAGAGAAGCTGACGATGACGCAGAGGCACCGAGCTTCATCATGGGGAAGAAATGACGCTGTTATGCAGCGTGAGAGACTTATTCCTAGCATAAAGGCAAGGGAATGGACACCTTTGCATAAAACGCTGTATACGATGCAAAACATTTGGTTTCTATCTGAAAGACATTGATGTAGCCATCTAAATCACCTTTACTACGATTAAAAAACTGCGACATTTGCTTGTTGTATTTTTTAAATAAAAAAAACCCTCATTTCATGTGCATACATCTTAAAGCTGGTAAATGTTTCTGCATATATGTCTTTTATATTGTGTATTTTAATGTAGCCCATTTTTGCAGCTTTGTGAAAGTGCCCCTGGCAAAGTTGTTGCCTGTGGGTAAAACATGGCTGCAGAAAGCAAATCAAAGAATGAAAAGGCGTGACTCCTCGAGGATCAGGAGCTTCACGTGCGATGTTCCTTGGACAGACAGACTCCTGCTTTCCACGGTGTTGGTGGCCTCTGTACGTGGCTACCAACTTTCTTAAGGCAGGTAGAGTAACAACTGGCAGCTGGATATTGTTTGCAGCAGGAAGAGGTTTTCCTCTCAGACACTTGAAGCTGTCACAAAAATACAGCTCTTATTATTTATTGTTTAATGCAGCTTCATCGTTTCAGTTCTGAAAATACTGAAGACATTAAAGGTCATGACAACATATATTAGCATGACACTTACTATTTACCAAAATAAAAGGCTGGGCATATTTGTGTCTTATGTACCTATGATATATTCAATATGTGTTTAAATGTAGAATATATATAAAGTCCACTACATTATAGCATGAAATGATAAGTTATTGTTATTATGAAACAACTCCCCAATGTTTCTTTTTGCTTATAATACATGGTTTTGCATAGATCTTGGCAGGTGCATTTCTTGGTTTGAGGCCTGTCCACTTAACATGGCTAAGTGAATGGGGAAGGTGATCTAGTTCACAGGGCGATACGAGGAGCTAAGATCTGAACCAGATTTGAATCCAACCACAAATTATTAAAACCAGATGAGAGCTACCAGTTAGAGCGCCCATTTCTCGACAGTAAAAGCAATGAAGATGCAGATGTCAGTTCCCAAAACTAAACTGTACCCTTGCTTTTCACATCACAGCAAGAGGCAAACAATGAGTTGCTGCTTCCTGTAATGTGGTCGGTTGTTGGGTTTAGCTCCACCAACGAGGTCCGGCCAAAACGTCGACGAGTGAAGTTGCACGTTTGAGCCACAAGAGGGCGATTACCTATTGGTTTAAATATTCAGCCACACATGGAGCAGACAACCCTTTGGAGGGAACTTGTTTAAATATGCAGTTGCACGTTTGAGCCACCGGAGGGCGAATCGTGCAGACAATCTAATGGCCGGACCTCGTTGTCTGGTAATGCGGTCGGTTGTTCGTTTTAGCTCCGCCAACAAGGTCCGGCCAACAGGTTTTTGCCCTCTTGTGGCTCAAACGTACAACTTCACTCATCGACGTTTTGGCGTGAACTTATTCATGAGTGAAGTTGCACGTTTGAGCCACAGGAGGGCGAATCGTGCAGACAACCTAATACTCTTTTAATAGCAAAATACTTTACAAAACATCCATTCATGGTTTAGATCATGGCCATAGTAATAGAGATGTACCAGCCGAGTGCAGTGGTCTTTCAGTGTGGAGCTGATTCAACGTCACTATTAAAGGTATGAAAAGACACTGATTTAAGCTTTTCACAGGTATTGACTAAAGAGAGAGTGACACATCAGCTGGACAAATCCAGTACAGACAAGATTGACTACAGACAGAACTAGTAGTGTTATTGCATTTACTTTATTTGTCTTTGCAGAAGTAGGAAGAGGAGGAAGAGGAGGACGACACTGGGGTGAGGACCTTGAAGTTTGTGCTAGAGGGAGCGTTGTTTTTGACTTTGGCCAAATAAAGTATTTTATTTGTTACTTGATTGTGAAATTCTTTAGAGTACTAAGTAGTGGCACAAAGCAAATGAGTGGTTTGCTTAAGTAGATTGTAGTGATTAATTGAAGAGTTTTGTAACATGTTAGTGCTAATCACTTTGAACATGGTGTAATCATCTGAGAGCATTTGTCTGAATGTTGGTCTTTATTATGGGCTAAGACACAACCTATCACCCACATACCAAAACCATTCTGATGAGGATTACAATGACCCATCAGGAGGGACCTGAAG